GGGAGCAGCTTATGGGGAGCAGCTGAAGCAGGGGTTCTGGAGGAGGAGGGTGAGAAGTGTTGGAAATGTATGTGTTTACAAGGTCTGATTCAGTCATTATGGGGTTAACTTGTATTCCTAGTTTGCTATTGTTTAGACTGACCTGGAAGGGATACCTGGCACCAAGCCAATGGGGGATTTGCCCAGGAAAAGTAGCTTCTACTTTGATGCAGATTGGTCATTTGTTTCAGGTGACTTCCTTTCTAGGGTCAAGAAGAAGGAGACAAATCTCCATTACGTGTGTGCTTGTTTTGTCTGTAGCCAGCATAGAAATGTAGCTCTTAGTGTTATGTTGATTTGTAGAAATCCCGTGAACCCTTTTCCCTTAGTAATAAAGGTTTTTTAAAAGCAAAGAACTCTCTTCTTTCCAATAGAGCAAGATCCATCAAATAGTCTGAGTATTAAACAATTATTGACTATTTTACAACAAGAAGGAGCCTCCTTGCCCACCTGCCCACTTCCAGAGCGGCTGCCTCAGACACCCTTCACACACTTTCCATTTGACTGCTGACAATTGAAATTGAGATGCATGGCTGAGAATGCCCAGTCTCGTTCTGACCCACCCAGCCACCCACAACTTTTCTTGTATTTTTTCGTTCATGTGTTTGTGTGTGCCTGTTTGTGTGTGCCTGTGCCTGTAAGTCATGGAGACCTCTGGCAACTCCTACTGGGGCATGGAGGACAGTCAGAGAAGTGGCTAGGTAGCCTGCCTCTGCCTCACTGATATGGTATTCTTTGGCGGTCTCCCAACCAAACACTTGCCAGGGCTGGCCCTACTTAGCTTCCCAGATCTGAAGAGATTGGGCTTGCCAGGTGAGGGCCCAGCTTCCTACAACTTGAAGGAGAAAATGTGGGTGGTGTGGTGGAGGCTACAGGTCATCCTCACAGATCCATCTACACATGTTGACACTGCTTCCCCCCATCCTCCAGTGGTCTGTTTGTCTGTTTGTTTTACCCACCTACCCTTTGGGTGGAAGTTTCAGATTTTTATGCCTTTCTTGTCCCTGTGATTTAACAGCCTACAAGCCATACGTTGGAACATTTTATAAATGCTCTATAATTGCATAGATAAATATGGTTAAGTCACATGTGCATTTTTAAAATCTTGACTGACAATAATATCTCTAGTTTCTGTTGTTTCAAAAGATTGATTCTGTAAATACTCAGTCCAGGGAGTGACATGTTGGTTAAGAAGTAAAAAAGAATGGGGACACCACAATATGTTTGCAGCAAAGTGTCAGGATTGTCAATAGGTTAGCATGACCAAAGAGCCTGCATATCTCCCACCACAGTAGGAGCTGGATTTGTTCTTGAAGCTAGAAAAAAAATCCATATGTAAGGCAGCTGAGATATTACTAACATCATATGGTTTTAGTGTAAAATTGGGTACAGTTTTTGTTAGTTCCCTAATATCATATTTTTAAAACATACACTTTCCTTTTTTCAAAATGAAAATAAACATTACAGTTTTATAAAGCAGAAGAAATTACTGATTTATTCAGTGTGCAAATGGAGAATGATATGTACACTCTAAGGAAACATTCTGACTCATGCAAAAGTTTTTTTTTTCCTCCAGAGATCTTTTTTACAACAATACAATGGAAGTGTATTGGAGCAGAACTATAATCCTAAGGTCATTAGTTTAATTAGTTTTAGGTTGCTTGAGGGTTATGGGGTAGTTTTTTGGACTACTTGATTGTGATCATTATACATAAATGAACTTTAGGGTTCCAGCTCTGGTTTGGGAAATTCCTGATTATTTGGGGACAGGGCCCAAGAGGGGCAACATTTCGGGAAGGGAAGAGAGCTGCCAAGGCACATTGACGCCATAGAATCCACATGCTGAAATGGATATCTTCTCCAAGGAAAATGATCTCTGTAGTCTGGAGATTAATTGTAATTCTGGCAGAACACTAGTCCCCTAGCTGGAGGTTGGGAACCACATAGGCTGGCCTTTGGCATCATCACTGAGTTTTTAGCCACTGGTGTGGATTTCAAATTCAGTGTTAAAATTAAGCTTATGATCAGCAGACATAATGCTTAGATCCCTACCATGACAAGCTTTACTTCTTATTACAAACCAAATGTATTTTCCAGGCATCTGAGAATATCAGAAAAATCTGAAGTTCTCCAAACCAGGTACAATGACAGGATTCCAGATCCCCAGCAGACGCCAAAGGCGTCCTGCGGGGAGCAGCATTTTCTTCCATGAAAAGAGGTTGGCTGCGTTTGCAGCCAGGTTCCAAAAGGGGGCAGGGCTAGCACCAGGGGTCTTTTGGAGATGGAATGCTGCTCCAGGAACCCAGGAGCTGGCAAAATGGTGGTGGCAGCAAGCCCCGCCCCTAGCTCCCCCCGCTATGGCCTGTCGCAGATCTCCCAGGGCCCGCGCTGAAGCGCTGCGCCCCCAGGGAGGCCTGAGGAGGCCCGTCGCCACCTTCCCAGGGCCCGCGCTGGAGCATGTGGCCCTGGGGACGCCCGTTGCTGCATTTCTGGGGCCCGCGCTGGAGTGCTGCAGCCCAGAGGATGCCAGAAGAGGCCCACCGCTGCCTTCCCGGGCCAGTGCTGGAGCGCTGCAGCCCAGAAGAGGCCCCCCCACTGCCTACAGGGGTGAGGGATCTGTGGGGGGGGGCGGAGGCTTGAGTGGGGGGGTGGGAGAGCCTCCCCCCATCTCTTTGCCCTCTTTCTCTCCCAACTTGCCTTCCTCTTTCCTTTTCTTTCCATCCTTTTCTTTCTCTCTTTTTGTCAGCTAGCTGCCATTTTAGATTGCTTCTGTCCTTCCCCGTTCCTACTTGCTCGCAGCTCAGTGGCTTGCAGTCAGAATTGCGATGGGGAGCTAGCTCATCAGCTTCGGCTTTGCCAAATACTTGAACCAGATCCCTATATTCCCGAGGGATTTTTTCCAGCTCCTCTGCAGCTAAGCACGCTCGAATCTGGTTCAAGGAGGAGCTCAAACTTTCCCTTCTCTTCCTTTTTCCCTCTCTTTTTCTTCTTCTTTCCTTCTCTCTCTTTCCCACTTTCCCTCCTTCTTCCCTTTTCACTCTTTCTTTCTCTCCTTTCTTTCCCTCCTTTCATTATTTCCATTTCCTCTTTC